CTGTGTATTTACCTTTCCCTAAGGATGTTACCTATGCATAAGCCTGTGTGTTGCTGTCTCGTGCTGATGTTACCTATCCAAGCATCATGTCGGGGGTCTTTATATGGTATTCATTTTATGTCTGAAATATTTAAAGTGTTTTGTCTTGAGTGCTGTGCGTGGGCTAGTTATTCCTCGTTGTCTTCCTGCTCTGTCTTCTCAAGACCACCAGGTCTCCATGCCACAGTCAGGTACAGAAGATTTGTTGCTAACTGTGGGACCGGGAAGAGATGTAATCGGCACCTTTGAGAATTTAGAATTATTGAAAGACCAGACATGTCAAGATACATGTGAAGGGCACAACAGTTGTTGCAATGAAGATTCCCAATAAGGGACAATTATCCATAACACACTTCCTCCTGTACAAAGTGATCCTGCGTGTAAACCATGTTGGGTCAAACTCCATTTTATGTCTGTTGCAGGTAGAGATAAATATGTTTCTGTTAGCAAAGATCCATGTGACATTTTTAATAAGACACAATCTCTGAGAAGAATGTGGGAACATATGGGAAGTCCCCTAGTCCATAATGCAAATGATTATTCAAAACATTGTCAGTCTGGGATAGATTTAAACTTTCAGTCATGTCATTGTCAACATCAGAGAATTAGAAAGGAAGATGAAAAAAATCTACACAGGATCCTATTGAGGAGCCCTCAATACTTTTCTAGCATCATGTACTTCATGAGAAACTCTACAATTGTAAAGGATATGGCAAAGCTACTAAATGGTGCCCAAGACTTACTGAACATCAGAGAGGGAAACCTCAGAAGTATGAAGAGCATGGTAAAGCCTTGTATTGGCATCCACAGCTGACTAACCATCTAAGGATTCATGCTGGAGAAAAGCCTACAGGCATCCTGACTGTAGTAACACCTTCCTGTGCTGTGTCACCTTTCCTGATTGGAGAGTTCATACTGGGGAGAAACCTTACAGATGTGAGGAATGTGGAAAAGTCTTTAACCAACAGTCAGCCTTTAACGATCTTAGTCAGCATCACAGAATTCATACTGAGGAGAAACCTTACAATTGTGAAGATTGTGGCAAAGCCTTTCACAATAAGTCATGTCTTACTCGGCATCATAGAATTCATACTGGGGAGAAACCTTCGAGATGTGAATAATATAGGCAAAGCCTTCTACCATCCATCACTTTTTTTTTTTTTTTTTTTTTTTTTTTAGAGGCATGTTTTATTTATTTATTCATTTATGTGTTTGTTTGTTTTTGTTTATACATGCACTGGGTACAGTCAGAAGCGCGGGAGGGTGAGAGAATTCACCAGAGCCAGAGCGGGGAGCAGAGCAGGCAGAAGGACCGAAGTACACTGCTGAGGGGAGCAGCGAGCGGCAGGAGAGGTCTGCGCGCCATGTGGGACCCTCCTCGGGTGGCCGGGGAGCAGCCGGGGATCGAACTGGCGCCGGAGAGGCCGCGGGCAGCTTTGCAACCCAGCGCTCAACCGCTGCGCCACCGGGGAGGCCCTACCATCCATCACTTTTAAGTCAACATCACAGAATTCATACTGGGGAGAAACTTTACAAATGTGAAGAATGTGGCAAAGCCTTTCACCGCAAGTCAAGTGTTACTCTACACTAGAGAATTCACATCAGAGAGAAATGTTAAAATTGCGAAGTCAATTTTTTCACTTTAGTGTCTTTTATTCAAGATTTATTTTATTATGCATGCAAGAACTGGGGTATCTTCCAGAGGTGGGGGTGTGTGAGAGGATTCATCAGAGACAGAGTGGGGAACAGAACAGGCGGATTGACTGAAATACACTGCTGAGGGGAGCAGCAGGCGAGACAGGAGGGGTCTGCTGCACCATGAGGGTAGCTCCCTGACCGGGAATCCAGCTTGTACTGCAGTGGCTGCGTATAGCTTCATAGGTTGAGTCTTAACCCTTTGTGCCACCAGTGAGGTCCCAACTTTGGTGTCTTTAACCAGAAGTTTAACCAGAAGTGTCAAAGTGATTAACCAGAAGTCAGATCATAGTAAACATCAGAGAGTGTAAAGCTGGAGTAAGTGTGAATGGAAAGTGATGAGTGGTTTGTCCAAATATGATTTTTTTTTTTCAAATATGAATTTTGAAACCACCAGATTTTCATACTGGAAACTTGAAAGAAGTGAAAATGATTAAATAATTTATCATGCAATTTAAATTCATATTAAGATATTGCAATACAGGGCCTCCCCGGTGGCGCAGCGGTTGAGCGCTGGGTTGCTAAGCTGCACGCGGCCTCTGCGGTGCCGGTTCGATCCCCGGCTGCTCCCCGGCCACCAGAGGAGGGTCCCACATGGCGCGCAGACCTCTCCTGCCGCCCGCTGCTCCCCTCAGCAGTGTCCTTCGGTCCTTCTGCCTGCTCTGCTCCCCGCTCTGGCTCTGGTGAATTCTCTCACCCTCCTGCGCTTCTGACTGTACCCAGTGCATGTATAAACAAACAAACAAACAAATAAAGAAAGAAAACATGCCTCTATTAAAAAAAAAAAAAAGATATTGCAATACAGTAGGAAGTGAGAAACACTTTACATTCCTTAAGTCAGAAAATTGTTATGGAGCATAAGCCAACATGAAAACACTAAATATTAGCATAATTGAAACGTCTGAGGGCCTTCCTGGTGGTGCAGAGAGTTAAGTCACAGCTCTATGAATCTGTCAGCAGCCACTGCAGCATGATTTGGTCCCTGGCCAGGGAGCTGACCACATGGAACTGCAGACCTCTCCTGATTTACCTGCTGCTCCCCTCAGCAGTGTGTTTCATTCAATCTGCTTGTTCTGCTTTGCACTCTGTCTTTGGGGAATCCTCTCACCCCCTACACTTCTGGCCTACCCCTTGGTCCTTGCATGCATAAATAAATAAAATCAATCTTTAAAAAAATATATAAGAGTTCAAGATGATGATTTGGGGACCTGTATAATTATTTTCTTTGTCCTTTTCTATCAACCATACTTGAGATATTGTGAAGAGACCTGATGAATATAATTCAGCCCTAAATCACTTCACTCTATGGCTTTCTCCTGGTATGTACATGGAGTCATGTATTTGACTTTCGTGCGTCAAACATCTAAGAGACCCTTTCCAGATGATGAGTTTCTTTACATCTTAATTGCTTGGGTACATTTATGATGGTGTCATGTGTCATGGACGAAGAAAATCTAAATGGAGATGCTGTTTGTGGCTGACTGAAAAGATTGATCTCTATCACCCAGAGGAGTCGTGGACTTCATTGTGGGTATAAGAGTTAGGCAGAGAAACGTGCTGAAGTTCAACTCATTTCATTATCTCCTTCAGGAAATACACTAATAGTTTATTAATATCCTCATGTGTCTTCATGGTAATAATGGAGCCATGAATATTACTGGACGTTGTTTCCAAAAGAAATCTTCACAAGCATGTGATGAAGGAGCAGGTGAGCTTTTCATAACAGCGTGGAATTCTTGTGCATTCACATTAGCTAAGCACAGCATCTTTCTGTTGAACACCGACTCTGATCCAGATATCAGAAGGTCAAGATGCTTCTTAAAACCTGAATCTCGATTTTGATAAAATCTGTCTTGGTATCTGAGTGTCTTATTTAGACTATATGTGAACTTCTTATGTATATTTTTTAAATTAATTCATACAAGACCTGGGGTGCAGGCCAAAGGGGTGTCTGTGTGTGTGTGTGAGAGAGAGAGCGATGGGGAGGATTCACCAGAGACAGAGTGGGGCGCCGAACAGGCAGACAGAGAGGAATACACTGCTGAGGGGAGCAGCAGGCAGGACAGGAGAGGTCAGCCCAGCCCTGTGGGTCGCTCCCTGCTGTGGAGGGGCGGACAGCTTCTGAGTCAGCGCGGTGCTTAACCCCTTCAGCCCCCGGGCGGCCCTGTTGAGCTCTCTTCCCTCAGAGCCCTGAGCCGGTTCTGGGCCCCTCAGTTTTCATGGGCCTCGCCCACCCGCCGGTTCTCCTCAACCTCCACTCCTCCCACTGCTCGGCCGCAACCCCACCCCAACCACGGCCCCACGGCCTGCGCAGGGCATCGTGGGAAATGTAGTCTGAGCCCCCGTGGTTCCCGCGGAGGTTTCTGGGCGGGGCTTCCGCGATCTGCGCGTCCGGAAGTTTCGGCGCGTCCGGAGCGCTGCGGCGCCCTGAGGTGAGCGCGGGGTTTGTCCCGGGAGGCCGGGCTCGGGGGAGCGGAGACGCCGGGAGGGTTGGGGAGCGGGGGGCGCGGGCGAGCGGGGCCCTGCCCCGTGGAGTCGGGCGCTTTGGAGCCGATTCCCGCCGGGGCGCGCGGGGGCCGTGGGCGGCGGCCGTTGGGGAGAACGTCCCGGCCTTTCCGGGTTTCCCCGGCGCGGCCGCCCGGCCCTGTCCCCGGACGCTGCCCAGGGTCTTCCCGGGGCGGGGGACGGGGTCTCCGAGGCGGGGGCTTGGGGAAGCGCGGGTCCGCCTGTGCGCATGCGCGGTGACTCCTCTGGCCCCCCGAAAGTCGGGCGGTGAGGGAGGGGAGAGCCCGGCGGCGTTTCTCGGGTTGGGGGGGCCTGGGCGAGATTCGCGCACCCCAGGTGGGGCGGGAGAGGCCCGCGGGTTGCCCGGGGAGGCGGCCCTGTGTCGGGAAACTGGGTTTGCAGGGCGGGGGGTGGGGGGAGTTCCTGGGGCGTTAGAGGTTTGTGGACTGAATTTCCGGGCGCGCTGCGCGTTCCCCCCCAGGCGGCGTCCTGCTGGCCGCTGCATTCCCGCCTCCCGCCTGCACCTGCGCACCCAGGGGACGCGGCGCTGTCGGGCGTCCACGGAGCGGAGGGCGGGAAGGGCGCGGAGCCTCGGCCGGGTGTCCTGGCAGAACAGTGCGTTCGGGGCGTCGTCTCGCTGGAAGTGGAGTCCACACTCTGCAGCGACTCCTCAGCTCTGAGACGGTTGCTCCTGCGTGACCGTGGCGCAGGCAGTGGGCAGTGTCACCTTTTACTAAGTTGTGGTGAACCGTCAGCCCAGGCTCTGCCGCGCGTGGACTCGGGGCCCTTCCTGCCCTGCTAGAAGTGCCACCCGCTGCCACACGCGGTGACTCTCTGGTGTCTCCAGGCAGCGTGTGGCGGGCTCTGGCCAGGAGACTCCGGACCCCGGCAGCCGCCTCCGTCCTCTGTGCTGGACCCCAGCGCCCCCCAGCGCCGCTCCCGAGCCCTGGCGCGTCTGTGAGAGCAGCGACCATGGACGAATCTCTGGTGAGTGGCGTGTTGGCTTCAGCTCGCGGTGCATTGACTTTATGCGAGTTCATCACGGACATGTGCATTAGAAACACAGTTTTCTGCAGGGACACATTCCTCACCAGGGAAAGGTGTGGCGTAGGTCCAGGCCCTTCCCATGTCCAGCGTGCGTGGAGATGGGGCTCTGCCCTGGTGCTCCCGCAGCGCAGAGTCTGTACCTGGGTCTCCGTTGATGACGCTGAAGGTGTGGCCTGTGGCTCTTCACCCCGCTGGACAGAAACACTTCCCAGCTCTGCGCTGCTCAGGTGCGGGGTGAGGGAGGACGAGGAGGATGGGGTCTGAGGACCCGAGTGCAGAAGGGGGTGAAGGAGCCACGAGTCATTTGAAAAGGACAACTGAATTTTTAAGGCTTCTGTGCAGTTGCTGAAATCCTATAGTGTGTCCCAGGCCGCTCTCGGAGATTTTCATGCAGGCGTCAGTCTTGGCACACGTGATGTTGAGTCCACTGGGGCGTCCTCACATCCCTGCCTCTGCTCTTCTCTCAGGGGGTCTGCAAACCCCAGGTGCCCAGCAGGCTCTTCAGAGATCTTTTTTCTGGCTTTCTGGCGGTTGTTTGCACTGCTCCTGGGCATTTCTCCTTGGTGTGGTCTGCGTGCATTTCTAGTGACGCTCACTGCACCCTAAGTTGTTCCCCAGTCCAGTGACACTCTCCAGCCTTTGCCTTCCCCAAAGTTCCTGCCATGTTTGAGAACACCGTGTGTGACCTTGGGGAAATTCCATTTTTTATAATAGTTTTAAAGCTTCTTATACTTTTTTCTCTTTTACTTATTTTTCCTCCTCGATCTGTCATTGACATGTGGAGCACTAAAACCTTCTGCTGAAAGAGTTGCCAGTTTTTTCCTAGACTCCTAATGGGTCTTGCCCTACCCCTTGTTTCCCCTCTACCAAACTACCCTGGCCCATCCCGGGTCCTCCTCCCTCCCTAACTTCTCCACCCTTTCCCCTGTTCCCTCTGGTGGTCATCTTTACCTTCACATGACCCTGTTCAAGTTTTATTCAAGTATTTTGCCTGTAAATGTTTATTGGGTATTTATTTTCCACAGATGAGTGAAGCCATCTGATAATGTGTCTTTACTTTTTGGCTTATTTCACTCAAGAATAGCACCTCCTGGCGTCTCCCTGATGGCACAAGGGGTTGAGATGCAAGCGATGGGGCTGTCTGCAGTCTCTGCAGCACAGGTTCTATCCACCAGGCAGCCAGGGAGCAACCCACATGGTGCAGCAGACCTGACTGGCCTGCTGCGTCCCTCGGCAGTGTATTTCGGTCAATCTGCCTGTTCTGTTCCCTGCTGTCTGCTGAATCTCTCACCCCCTCCCCCACACCTCTGGCCTGTACCCCAACTCCCGTATGCATCAATAAATAAATTATATTTTAAATTTTTTTTTAATTTTACATTTTTTATGCAATTTTTTTTATACAGTCATGTTTTATTTGTTTGTTTGTTTGTTTATACACGCACTGGGTACAGTCAGAAGCGCAGGAAGGTGAGAGAATTCACCAGAGCCAGACCAGGGATCATAGCAGGGAGCAGGGAGCAGATCACAGCAGATCAGAGCAAAGGAGCAGCCAGGGATCAAACCAGCGCCGCAGAGGCCGCGGGCAGCTTTGTAACCCAGTGCTTAACCGCTGAGCCACTAGGAAGCCCTAAATAAATCTTTTTTAAAGAAAAACAGATTTTGGCGGCACAGATGTTGAGCCCTGGGTTGCGAAGCTGCCCGCGGACTCTGTGGTGCCAGTTCGATCCCTTGCCACCAGAGGAGGGTCCGGCTTGCTGCGCAGACCTCTCCTGCCGCCCGCTGCTCCCCTCAGCAGTGTACTTTGGTCCTTTTGCCTGCTCTGCTCCCCGCTCACTGCAAATTGCATGGGGCTCTACTCACTTCTGTCAACACCCTCCTGTTGAACAGGAAGCCACACTCACATTCCTCCAGAAGGTTAGTGAGAGAGCTGCAAGCAGGAGTTGATTTTTCTTTCCCATCCGAAACAGAAATATCACTTAACTCCTTGAAAAATAGACTTCCTAAGTTGACTTTGAGTGCAGGTGATGCAGCAAGCCCCTGGCCTAGGATTTTCAAATTGTCCTTGGCCAGTTATTACCAATGACTGTCAAATGTGATCTCGGTGGTCTGGGTGTATCCCATGGGAAAATGCCTTTTCTCAGGGAGTGGAGCTTTTACAGTTCATTTGTGACTTCGATTTTAGCTGTGTGTTGAATTCATACCTTTCTCCGCTCTTAACTATGTTGCCTCATAGCAGCAGCTTTTGAATGTGGTCTGGGCTCATAAATTAGGTGTCTGATGTGATTGTCTTTTTCTGGTGGGTTGGGCCGGGAAGGGGTTGCTTCAGCCGTGGCCAGTGATATCCTGGGGAGAAAGTGAATCCATTGGCCCTGGATTCTGTCCAGCATATTCAGTTCCTTCATTTTACATCCTAGGGAGGTGCCATGATGGTCAAGGTTACAGTACTTCTTACCGGTACCACTAGTCACCCAGATTTCTAAGTCACAGTGCGCTCATACAAGGATCTTGGGGTTCTCTGATAGGAAGAGGGAGGCTCAGAGGTGAAGTGACTTGTCTGAGGTCCTGGCTGGTTGGTGTACGAGTTGCAGCTAAAACTCGAACCTGCTATGGACTGTATTCTCTGAGCTCTTGTATCTGACTGAATGTTTTTAGAAACTCAATTATGGCTGGACTGTACCAGAAAAACTAGCTGTTTAATCTTTCCCATTGTGATTGTAAGGTGAACAGTTCTCTCTGCTTTGTCTTATAGTAGGTGAGAACAGGGACACCAATTGAGATGTTTACTTTTTGGATTTCCTGAGGCCAGCTCTCCTTAGGTTGCCCCCACCCCATCCTAGATCCAGACCTAGGGCTCCACTGCCTGAGGACTCTGCTCCACCCACTGCCTCCGTTTTTCTACTGCAGAGGCTGTGGAAGTGGGAGCTCATTAAACAAAAAGATCAAGAGTTCACCCTGCATTTCAGTTCCCTTTTGCAGCCAGGGTGGAGGGCAGAGAAAGAAAGGTGTGCTGCTCCACAATGTGGCTGCAGACTTTGCAGCCATTGGGCTGACCTCCCCCTGGGCAGGAAAGTGGACAGACTGGGAGTGCTCCCAATTTCAGGGGTGGCCCTACTGAGTGGCTTCCAGCACTTGTTACAAGAACAGTGAAGACCTCCTGGGCAGCTGCAACAGGCGATAGGCTCGGTGGTCTCACTGGATCTTGAGCTGAAGCCAGGACTGTGCTGAGTGACCCCAGTCAGTGAGCAGTGCAAAGCAGTGGCCTCCGAACCTTTCTCTTCCCCACATCCCAGTCTCTCTGTGCTGGGGTCCTGGACAGGGCAACGGAGCATTTGGCTCTCAGTCAGGCTACTAAAGTTTTGCACTGCTGAATACTCTTGAATCTGCTGTACCCTTTCTGTTTACACAGCGAGCAGAGTGATAGCAAGACTGTGCTACACGTGATGGCTCTGCACTTAGCTAGGCTGTCAGGCAGGCCGGGCTCTGCCCCATGGTGGCCTGCGGCCATTGTGTTTCCCTTCCTGTGCGGGTCTCTGCTGTCCCTGAAGCATCACCAGGATACCTTGGCAACCAGACATATGTAGAATTGGGCCCTGTGTCTAGCCCAGGGGAGGAAGAAGTTTCTAGCACTTACAGCTTTCTCTTTGCTTCCTGGTGCTTTCACAGAAATACTTCATTTTTTCTTAAACCAAAATTGCACTTGTTCAGTTGTCATTGTTGAGGATGTATTTACTGTGTTGTACAGACGTGAGTATATACATGTATGTACTTATATATATGTATGGATGTATGTAGAAAACCGAACGTATATGACAGGGTTAAGGCATGTATACTAGATATTTTGAAGTTATTTATCAAGGGGAATGATGTGTGTTATAGAGTAAACAGAGTCTGTACTTTATATATAATGCGGATAGCAAGAATAGCATCCACATTATACACAAGTTTCCTTTCCTCTTTTATTATTAAAGCGAAAAAAAAAAAAGAGGACCGTTAATGCAGCTGTTCCCAGGGTTGTGAAGGCCAGGACACCGTCGCGGGAGGGACTCCCCAGCCCTGGGGTGTGCTCTGTGTTCAGGCTCTGCCTCCCCGGGGCTTCCTGCTGTCCCCCACGGTCTACATCGCTGGGGTGAAGGGTGAGAGTAACCAGTAAAGATTGTCCAACAGAAGCGATTCTGGCTCTTCTCCTGCTGGGTCGCCTCGGGGCTGTCCTTCGGGAGCACGTGCCTCATGGGTTGTGGACTCTGAGGCAGCGATGGGAGTGGGTCGGTGGTGGTATTTAGCGTCTGTGTGGGGTTGTTAGGGGGAAAAGCTGTCCTAAGGCTAATTCCATACAGGCTTTGCGGACTCCACCCCCACCCCAGACCAAAGCCAAAACACTGGGAACTCCAAATCCCATCACCACCCAAGGGAAGGTGGCTGGGACCTGATGGTGGGGTTCAGCAGCCAGGTTGGTATAAAGCCAGACCCGTGGGCTTTGGAGGGGTTCCCCATTTTGGCTCTAGGCCAGCTTGCAGCATCCGGCCAGCTCGGAGAGTGACTTTGGGTTTCCAGGTCGGCGTATCGGGTAGGACGCATTAAAGACTTTATTTCCCTATTTTCTCCCTGAGTTGTCCATTTTCCTTATTTCCTTTTCCCTTGTAAGTAAACCTTTCATTAACCTTTGTGGGTGTGTCTGTAGTGGAGTATTAATGGGTCCCTTTTAAGCACACGGGTGAGGACCCACAGCCCGGCAACCCGTTCAATATCGGGGATGCCCTATAACAGGGTGGTGTGCGTATGTGAGCATAGGTGTGTGTAGTTCGTGTATGGTTTGTGTGTGTGTGCGTGTGTGTCTGTGTGTGCGTGTGAGAGAGAGAGGCTGGTCCACACAACACGATGAGGGCACAGACTTTAGATGGGAGAAACAAGTTTTAACCCTTTGCACTCCGAACCATTCTGGA